TGAAAGAATATCACAGAACTTTGAATATACTACTTTGTAAGGAAATCTCTAAGAGATAGGTTAGTAAGTGCTATGGTCTAAATGTATGTCCACCCCAAGTTCATATGTTGAAATCCTAATCCCTAAATTGGTGGAATTAAGAGATGGGGCCTTTTAGGAAGTAAGTAGGTTATTAGGGCTCTGCTCTCATTAATGAGATTAGTGCCCTTATATAATAAAAGAGATCTAAGAGAGCTGTCTTGCCCCTTCCACCACGTGAGGCTATAGCAAGAAGGCACCATCTATGAATCAGGAAACACCCTTAACAGACACCAAATCTGCCCATGGCTTGATCTTGGACTTCTCAGCTTCTAGATCTGTGAGAAATAAATTTCTGTTGTTATAAGCTACCCAGTTTATGGTATTTTGTTATAGCAGCCCAAACAGACTAAATGAGAATGTGCTTTTCTGATATTTGACCACCAAAACCTTCTTGAGAAAACAGCAACAGAAATGAGTACACCTAGGGATATTTTGTGGAAAAGAAATGCTATTGTAGAAGTAGATATTTGAGTGACTCCCACCAACAGGGGTACAAAATGTCATATTTATTCCTTCTGCTAGTATAAATTCTTAATAAATATTTTCCAAATATTTCTGGTGGGAGTGTAATTTTTATAAAAATTTTATAAAACAAGTTGACTATGGATAAAGAACCATTAAAGTATTCTACTCTTTGTAATTCCACCTTTGAAAATATATCTTAATGAAACAATCTAAAATCTCTATTTCAGATGATATATGATTTTTTTTAGTATAACATTTTAAACAACATATTTGGTATTAAGAACAACTTAAATGCCCACGGAAAAGTAAAACAATTATACTATATTAAATGCAAATTATAATATAGTCTTTTAAAATGATGATTATAAAGACTATGAGAATATGAAAATCCTTAGGAGAAGTCAACAAAAAGCAGGATATAAAATTGTATACTCACAACGAATTTGTAAATGACAAAAGAAGCAAAGGAAAATTTTACCATAGAAAATACACAAAATGCTAATAGTAACTATGTTTTTTTTTTTTTAGGCTGATCCGTTTATGCATTTTTAATTATATTTTCTAATGTTTTTAAGTCTTCTTTTTGTATTATAACTTTGGCCTCTGAATGAGCCATATTTTTAAGTTTGCTTATAATAAGCAAGGCTCATCGTTTTCACCCAATGTAGGCAGCCTTCCTCTGAGGAGTTAGGAAATGCCTCCAAATAGCCAAGGATGCTCCCTTCTAGGCTTTTACTTGTAGAATGGGGAAATTTTAGTTGAAGTTTCAAATATTTGTGAAGTCTAAACACATGGACCACGGCACTCTGCTTTTTGCACTTTCCGTGACTGATCAGGTAATAAAATGCAAAATGGAGAGAGGCTGACAGAAACATTTCTGCTTTATTTCATTTACATGAGCTCTTTTTTTTAAAACCTCACAGATGAGCTCTTCGGTGTCTAAAGTTATTTCACACAGAATTTTTAACATCTTATTATTGAAATGAAAGGGGAAAAAATCAATTGTAAACATCCTGTAGATGGAACACATTTGATTTCAATTTGCACCAAATTGTTAGTTATTAAATCTATTGTGAAGCTCTCTGCCACTTGCGTAAATTTCTCAACTCTTGGCTGCTGAACAAGTGCCTCTGAGCTTTCTGATACTTATTGACAGCTTTTTTCCATAGTACATGGCTTGTTATTTAAAGACGCACCAGAGAAGAAGTCTTCAAAATATATCCACATTCACTGTGACATTAGAAAGTTGTCTTTATTGGTCTGAGTTTTGAAATAGTAAAATAACAGAAATGAATCGTTTTGTAGTAACACAAGGCTCTCTTTCTCTTGGCTTGAAGCTCTGGGAATATTTGCTCGTATAGATCCTTCTCACTCTTCAAAAGAAAATTGAGGTGTGACTTATTAATGTACTCTAGATATACATTTTCCCTCTGTTCATATGAAACTCTCTTCAGCAATTTTGAAGTGACCTTGACTGTATTTTGTGATTCTGAAATCTCTTTGGGGAATATTTAAAGACAGAACAAATTCAATGGTACCTAGCTCCATAGAAATGGGGTATACTCAGGTATGGTGTAGAATATATTCAACTGCAAGTAACCAAGAGATGCTTACACAATTCGCAGTTTATTATTATCTCCCATTACCAGCTGTCTGGGGGGAGACATGGAGGGCTGGCAAAGTGGCTCAAGAATGCCTCTGAGTGCCTAGGCTCTTTTAACATTGCTACTCCAGCATCCATAGACTGTTCACTTCCATTTCATACTTGACATATGTGGTTTCAAAATGGCTTTTGCACCTCCGCACATTACATCTACATCTATGAACGATGACACAGGAAATAGGATGGGTCAATGCCTAAATTAGGAAATATCCCAGAAATCCTCTGCAGACTTGTGTATACATTCCATAAGCTGCCACTGTGTCACATGGCTACTGTTAGCTGCAAGAAAGCTTTCAGGCCTCTGTGGAATAAAAAAAGCATACAGGAGTTAGAAATGAGTATCAAGTGATCTTGTTTCCAGTAACTGTCACATACCTCTCTAGAACACAACTTAGAACCATCAAATAATCACAAACATTTTTCCCCCCAAACAAAAGTAGATGTTTCAATGGTCAGACACTTAAAGTTATGAAAGTTCCTCTCATCCATCAAGCATGTTTCCCAGTTCCCACCAGAATTGTTGCAGGGAGAGGAGGCATCCCAGAACAAACGAACTGCTCCAGTAGGGAATACTCATAGTTGGTGAACCAAAACCAAAGGATAAAAAAGAAATATTAGAAGAATAATCCTGTAGAAGTATTCAAGACATGGGATAGCCTGGGTTCATTTAAAATAGACATAAGAAGTTTCTTATTGTTACAGTAGAGTACAGTAAGTGAGCATAACAATAGCCACTGAATTTTCAAGAAGAGGGAAATTATGTTCAGCATTTTTTTTTCTAATAAAGAGGAGATGGCAGAAAGATTTATCTTCTACGTGTTCGTAGTTGAAAATGTGCCATTATGTATAGAGACAAACTCCAATGGGCTACCTGGGAAACTTTACTAACTAGAGAAGAGTTTTCAAGACTTTTAGATTTTACAGGTCTCCACCTTTTATTTTTTAATGAGGAAATATGTGAATGTGTCAGGTTGGCAGCCTGTTCTGAATTCTTGGTGTGCTCTTGGCCAAAGAATGACCAGACACAGCAATAACAAGGCCAGCAGGAAACAAAGTTTATCGAGGAAAAGCAAGATAGGTTTATAGAACAAGAGCAAGATGTAATCACCCTGCCATAACAAGAGGCCCTGGTTATGGTCTTGGGTCTCGTTTTATACTGTCTGGATTGGGCCCTCCTCATGGTTCAAACATCACCATTGAACCACTTTGAGGGATAGTTAATGACATGATAATTAGCCTTAGGTTCCTCTAGGTCATTTTCCAAACTCTATTGTGCCTAGGGTGTCTGGCTTATAGGTTGGGGAATTCCCTGCACATTTTTACAAATTGGCAGGGCAGACCTCCTTCCTCCAGGTGTGGCAATTGCTCAAGGCAGCACCAAGGTGGAGCACCCGCTTCTGTCCCTAGGAGAGCCAGGGAGAGGCCCCTCACTATCTACCTAATAAATGTATTGGGGGGAAAAAACATCTACCTATGATTACCATCATTTTATATAGAAGGTCATTTTCATACCAAAAAAAGAAACTATACAATCTCAGAATAAAAAAAAAATTTTAAGGAAAAGTTAAACTTTATGAAAAAAAATCAGATATTTTCTTTACTTTTTTTTCATTTTGGTGCAAATGAATGCAAAACCTTGGTCACAGATCAGGGATGGATGTTTAGGGACTTCTGTGAAGGATTTCAGATATCTGGGATTTGCTTATTTTTCTCATCTTTTACAAGCATATATACCATTTATATTCATGTGGTAACTGTTGTGTGTTACCAGCCTGCCAGTCACATACATGCTATGATTTGCTGTGTGTGGCAAATTATTTCTCTTCCATTGTCTGAAATAATTCTCTTGCTTTTGGGTTAAGGGTAGGATGGCAAACACCATACCTATGCCATCACTGACCCTATCCTATGCCAGTAGCAAATTTACTATTCACAGTAATTTTTACCACTAAGACTGTTAGGTAGATAGTGAGGGATTCGGGTCTCCTAGGGATGAAAGTGGGTGTTGCTGTGATTCACCACCCCCGCAAATGGGCTTTCAGAGAGGCTCATGGGATGTCTGCATGGGCAGTAAGACTCAGGTCATGCAGCTCCCAACTGTCCAATCAAAGTGGTTCCATAGTGACCTCTGAACCACGAAGGAAGTCCCAATCTGGGCACTATAAAACAAGATGCAGACCATAACCTGTCCCTTTGCACCCTTCCTTTTGCTCTCCCTTTGCTGTGACAATGGGTCAAGCCATCTGTGGCATAGGTATCATGCTCTGTAAACCTATATCTTGCTCTTGCCCTATACTCCTATCTTCTTCCTCTCCTCAATAAACTTTATTTTTGTGCTTGTCTAACTTTGGAGTGTCTGGTCGTTCTTCGGCCATGAGCGCGCCAAAAACCGAAATTTTCAGACTAAAACCTGACAAGACTAGAAATGAGATCAGATCCTGTCTCAACACAGTGTTTAGGAAGCTACATCCAATCCATTGGAGCTGACACATGAAATCCCTCTGTTCTTTATGAATTAGGTATTAGCCCCAGAAGGATTTTGTAAAAATGTGCTAGTTATATGAAAGGGGAAACTTACTGACACATCAGTTCAGCTGTGAGATGGCAAAGAGAAAGTAACGCAGGAATAAAATAGAAATCAATTATGTTTTAAATGCAGTGGGAGGAAAGGGCTGGGAATGGCAGAGAGCCTACCAAAGAGCAACATGAAGGCAACCTCTGAGTGCAGGTGAGAATACTATCAAATGCACTGGCTTTGAGCTCATGTATTTCTCCTGCTCAAATACTCCCAATGGCTTCTCATGTACTTATCACATTTACTAGCATCTCCTCAACCTGGATTTCCACCAAATGTCCTGCACAAACTCCAGCAACTCTGTCATCGATCCCAGACATTGATCCATTTCCATCTCTGGGCTTTACTGTGACTGTTCTTAATCCTGCATGCTTAAGAATTCCAGGTAATTGCATATAAATAAAACTGATACAAGAATGTCATGGAAATCCATTGCTCAAACATTATCTCTTCCCTGAGTTCTTTCCAGAAATCTTTTCTTGTTTTATCCTTCCTCCTAGATAACAAATGGGATTCATTTACTAAGAAGCAGAAGAAATATGTGGTAAAGCAACTTTTCCTATGCTTCCTTAACGAGCATTCTCAGGATTAGAGCTAACCACTGTGTTAAATAGAACAATTTGGAAGTTTTTAAACTGTGATAGGACAGAATCTAAAATATATATTTATTGCAATTATAATTTTACTTTCAAAAATCCATTTAAATAAAAAAAAAAGTAATATAGGGACATTAGGAACATGAAAAATAGTCACCATACTAACACAAATGCTTTGACATTTGGTGCATTTCCTTCCAGACTCTTTTTTTTTTGGAGGGGGAGTTCTACACATTGTTATATATTTGTATTTTACTCATTCAGCAAATAATTATTACATGAATTCTATATGCTAGGTGCACTATGCTAGACAACCACAGAAACACAGATTTGTTTTCATGCAATATGATTTTATATTTATATACATGCATGTATATGGCTTCATAGTTTTTGAAACCTCATTCAATATTAATGTACTCAAATTTATATAATCTTAGTGGCTATTTATGTATTTATGGTATTAGTAGTTTTTCAGTAAATGAAAGGCATATATATTTCCTACAGCATTTAATTCATATTGACATATTTTTTTTCCCAAAATAGATACCTATGTGTACTTCTACGAGCAATACCTCAAAAACCAAACATGGCTCCATTATACCTTACCTTATATTTTAAAAGGTCGCATTTTATAGGTTAAAACCATGCTAAATCCATATTTATTAACTTTTTTGTTTGATTTCTAAGGATGATTTTTTTAAAATGTTGTTAAAGTTGAGAATTGTCAACACTT